CTGAAGTACTTATCACAGGGCCAACATAAGAATGGGTGAGCTATTATTATTGCTGTCATTACTGTGTGCGTGCACAATGGCTTCAAAGCTGCATAAATACAGTTATTACAATCATGGACTCTCCCAGCATCCAGAAGATTCCAGAATGTTTTGGTGAGGAGGAGCTATCCCAGATCTTTTGATGATGGTGGCGATGAGGGGTACAGCAGAAGGAAGCACTGGAAGTTTGGGGACAGTGTGGTGAAACTGAGATAAATATCTGTGTGTGTGTTGGGGAGAGTTGTGCATGATGGGAACATGTGTAGGATGGTTTTGATATAACATGTGGTGTTACTGAATATATGCTGTTTGGCATGAACCATCAAAAAAAAAAAAAGAACTGAAACTCTGTTTTGCCAGAATAACTTCCATTTATGTGTATAAATTATTATTTGTGCAAAGTGATTGCCACACATAGAAATAGAGCTGATTTGTGCATGTCATTTCATATATCAGATAAACGGTGCTGTAAATATTATTCGGTTGTAACAGCCACTTCTATAAATACAGTTGTTAATGGGGCACCTGGGTGGCTCAGTCGGTTGAGCGTCCGACTTCAGCCCAGGTCACGATCTCGCAGTCCGTGGGTTCGAGCCCTGCATCGGGCTCTGTGCTGACAGCTCAGAGCCTAGAGCCTGTTTCCGATTCTGTGTCTCCCTCTCTCTCTGCCCCTCCCCTGTTCATGCTCTGTCTCTCTCTGTCTCAAAAATAAATAAACATAAAAAAAATAAAAAATAAATAAATAAATACAGTTGTTAATCAGCTGTGGGTCCTACCCCTTAGCGTGATAAGCAGGGCATCTAAACACGTAGCTATTAAAAACTTATTGTAGGAGATCCTGTTAGTGCTCTGCCCAGATACTCTTGGAGCCCCTTCATTTTCTCCACTCTCCTCCTCTGGCTCCATTCTTTGCTTCCACCAGCCACACCTGCACCTTGTCAGGGGACTGTGCGTGGGTCTCTGGAACTGCCTTGCCTTTTGGTACAGAAAGCTGGAAGTGCCTGTAGTCCATCCTCACCCCGGGTGGCCCTGGGCCAACAACAGATGGGAGTGGGAGCGTGAAAGGCCAGCACCTTTGCCTTGAGTGGGAATAACTCCGGGGGGAGACTGTGGCTTGCCCCCCAGGACACTGCCTAAAACCGCAGTCCTCCCTCAGTCATCCTCTTAATAAATGATTCGCACCTGATTCCTTATCACAGGTTCTGTTTCTGGGGAACGTGAATTAAAATCACTTAACGTACGTCAACTTTTCTCCTTGGCATGGTGTAAATGTCAGCTTATTAATCCTCACAACACTGTACGGCAGTTATTATTAGGCTTACTTCGTGGAGAAGCACGCCGACTTGAATTAAAGAGTACTGGCCGCTGCACGTCGTTGGAGGTGGTTGGAGGTTCGTTGCTCGTTGCTTTGCCTTCTTTCCTGCCCTTCTGGGCCCTGGCGTCTTATTTAGCATGACCGCTGTGTTCTCTTTTGAAGTACAGCCACCATGTTGGGATGGTTTATCTGAACAAACCAGACTGTATTTGGGAATCATCTACATAAAGCCCATCACTGATGAAGATATCACAATAATTCTCCTTGGTTCAGAACCCACAGGGTGATTTCGCCAAGAGACCATAAAATAAGTTTTGTGTAGGGAAAACAAGTTATCAGAACGACCAGGAAGAATGCTACTGCATTGACTAAGACCTCAGCAAGAGCACTGGGCGAATCAGATAGGGGGTGAGGGGCAAGCCTCTGGGGTCAGGTTCATCTGGGCTGGAGTCCCAGCGTCTCTTCCGACAAGCTTTGTGATCTTGGGCTACTTATGTAATCTCATCCTTAATCTTCTCACCTGTAAAATGGAGACTGCAAGATCTGTTTTGGAGGATTGAAATAAGGATTAAATAAAAGAATAAAAGAACATATATAAAGTTCTTAGCATAATGCCTGGCATAGAGTATGCTCTAAATCAAATCAGTTTTTATTAAAACGATGTCTGGAGCGTATTATGTGGTCTGACTCAGTGATTCACCCTAAACAGAGGCGTATCATTTGCAGACATCGATGATGCAATATGCAGCTGCCCGTGGACCTCCTCATAGGCCATAACTGGTGTGCGGGCCACACCTTGAGAACCTTCCAGTACAGGTACCAATATGCCATTTTCCTGGTGGAGTCTGCAGTGAGGCAGGCTTTTTGCATTTTCCATTTACCAGAGAGAGGAATGGCCACAGGCCACTCTGCCCCTGAATAATCTGCCTGCCAGCAACATGAAGATTGCTTCATAAAGGCGGTACAGACTTGTTCTCTTGTTTGACATTTTATGGTGGGATCATTGTCGATTCACATGTTGTTAGAGATAATACAGACCCCCTATGCCTTTCACCCAGTGTCCCCCAATGGCAACATCTACAGACATCTGATTTTAAACATATTTTTGAGTAAGTATTCGTGCCTTCCCTTACATGTGCGAAAACGCTGAAAAATCTTTGTTTTAGTGAGACTGCAAACCACAAGACCCAGTCTCTTGTGTCAAGAATCTGAAAATCAACTGGAGCCTTGATTGAGGAACCTTGAGTCAAAAAAGAGCCCTTATATATACACATTCCTTTATTTGCCCCAGAATGAAAACTAAGACTTTTACATGCAGCATTTTTTTTTCAAACCTATAATGTTTGATTGCAAAGTTTTTCTTTTTTTTCCCTCATTGTGCATATGATTAGATTACATACAGGGTTAGAATTGTCGACTTTGCAGTCATAACCATGCCATTCAAGACCCCATGTGTGTTTCCTCTTCTAGAGGTGGGTGGCCCCCACACAAAGACCTTTTTGGGGGTCCTTAAAGCATGTGGTAAGAACATTTGTGGCTCGGAACAAAAGCAGAAACGCCAAATCCGGTCAGCTTATGTAGCATTTCTTTAAAAGAGCCATTGTAGAAGCTCTCGGTTACTAAGAAGCATGGCTGCTCCCATGGTGGTACCACCATGGCCCAGGCTCTGCTTCCCCCTCAGCACATTGTTCCTCACGTACCAGTGTGTCCGGTGCCTGTACTGGTCATGCAGGGGAAGCAGCTCGTGTGCAGCGTCTGATATGATCATCAGTCTATGGATAGTAGAGCAGTTGGCTTTATTTACTGGGTGAACTGACTTAATTTTACTTTTAATTTTTTTAAAAAATTTTTAATGTTCATTTTCGGGAGAGAGAGAGTGAGAGAGTATGAATGGGGGAGGGTCAGAGAGACAGGGAGACACAATCTGAAGCAGGCTCCAGGCTCTGAGCCGTCAGCACAGAGCCGGACACGGGGCTCGAGCTCGTGAACTGTGAGATCACGGCCTGAGCCGAAGTCAGACGCTTAGCTGACTGAGCCACCCAGGTGCCCCTTTACTTTTAATTTTTAAAGTAGGAAGTATCTCTCTGTCCCCAACATTGCCTTCTCCTTCTCTCTTCTTTCCTGCCTCCTTCTTGAGTCTCTGAGCCTCCAGCCTCAACCTCTTCCAACTGCCTTCCCATCGTTTCTTACTCTCTTCATGGATCCTCCCATCTCTTGCTTCCCCTTACTGTCAGCCCTCCAAAAGAAAAAAAAAAAAAAACAGAAAGAGAGAAAGAAAAAGGAGAAGAAACAGAAAAACCCTCCATTACGACATTTGGCAAAAACCTTATAATCATATGTTTATTTTAATTTCATTTTACTGTCTTCCAAAACACAGGGCTGTGCAGAACCAGGCTTCTGTTTGCCTCGCGGGCATTTACAGTCATTCGGTGGTAATGATGCACAGTCCATTTATAAACAAACATCTTTTTGTCTTTATTACTGCGTTTGTTTGTGATGTCTGAATGAGCAGTTTAAGTGTATGTTTGTAAGCCATTCACCAAGTATCTTACACTAGGTACAAAGAGGAGGTAGAAATTAGTATTGCATAACTCATGCTTTGCAACACTGCCACAGAGTAGGGCTTGGGGATTTAATGATAGGGGGGATGACTTTCTCACCATTATATCCTCTATGTACAACTGTGGGCCACCAGAGGAGACAGCTCAGTGGACAAGTGAGCCATCTATTACCATGGGTTCAGCCCAAATGTAAGCCAAGCCTTTTGTCTCAGTGATATAGAAAACCAAACAGTGGGCCATGGGAGACCCATGACAGGTATCCAGGACAGCAGTCAACTGGAATAACAGTAGGATGAGGGGGGTGTGTGTGTCCAGAGATGAAGGACATAGAGACAAAGCCTGGAGTACTTATAAGGTGGGGTTGTGACGGGACATTGCATGTGGCTTACCTGTCACTGCTGGCCTGGGGGTGACTTCCGAAAGGACAGACCCCAACTAGACAAGCCTATTGTTCTAATTCAATGTTTATCAAAGGCATCTGTGAAATCATTTGATAAACTCTACCCATTTCCTACCGACATGACCGTTATACTACGGCAAATACTCAATTGCAGTTTGGGGGCACTGCGTGAGTCTTTGTTATTTATTGGAAGGAAATACAATGAAAGGAGAGGTAAAATGCATTTTACAAATATATATATGACTCAATAGCATTGTATATGGGGCTGCTTGCCTGCTTTTTTTTTTTTTAATACTAGGAAATAAGTTCAGACAGGATTCTTCTCATGTTCTGGTTTTGACTTTGCAGTGTGTGTATATGTCTGTGAGCAATACTATTTTTCTCAATCCAAATGTGTTGGATGTACTTTTCGAGGTTCCAGACATCCTGTTTTATCCTCAGGGAATTCCTGTGCATTCCATGCAAAGCTAATTCTGTGTCTTAGTCTGAGGGGGACAGTGAAAAGAGACCAGAGACCAAGGGATAGATGGTGAAAAAGACAAGAAAGGAATACTAAGTATCTTGTATGGCTTTTCTTCTTTTGCAGTTCTGTTTTGAAGCCAAAGTGGATGATGCCGTCAGGGCTGACCCACTGATCAGAGTCTGAAAACTTCCCATCTTCGCATTTGCCATCAGTTGAGATAAGATGGAAGACTGTTACAAGGATAGGACTTCACTGATGAAGGGCGCCAAGGACATTGCCCGGGAGGTGAAGAAACAAACTGTAAAGAAGGTGAACCAGGCAGTGGACCGGGCCCAGGATGAATACACCCAGCGGTCTTATAGTCGGTTCCAAGATGAAGAAGAGGATGATGACTATTACCCACCTGGAGAGACCTATAATGGGGAGGCCAATGATGATGAAGGCTCCAGTGAAGCTACCGAGGGCCACGATGAAGATGATGAAATCTATGAAGGGGAGTATCAGGGCATCCCCAGTATGAACCAAGGGAAGGACAGCATTGTGTCAGTGGGGCAGCCTAAGGGCGATGTGCACAAGGACCGCCAGGAGCTGGAGTCAGAGAGGAAAGCTGATGAGGAGGAACTAGCCCAGCAGTACGAGCTGATAATCCAAGAGTGTGGTCACGGCCGTTTCCAGTGGGCCCTTTTCTTTGTGCTGGGCATGGCCCTTATGGCGGATGGTGTGGAGGTGTTTGTTGTTGGCTTCGTGTTGCCCAGCGCTGAGACAGACCTGTGCATTCCAAATTCAGGATCCGGATGGCTAGGTGAGTGCATCATGCCTGTGACACAGATTCTGAAACTGGCTTATTTGTAGAGCACTGTTAACAAATAGAATACTTACTTTTCATCCAGAGCACTGCTTCCCCCCTCACCACTACATTATTAGGAACAGCTTTAAACATGCAAAAGAATCAAAAATATTGCACAATGATGCCTGTATATATCCACTACCTAGATCCTATAGTTAACATTTACCGTATTTTCTCTTTCATCTATCCATCCATCAATCCAACTTATATGTTTATGCATTTCAAATTAAGAGCAGTATGTTTTATATTATTATAAATGTTTTATTGGTTTCTCCTTTATTAACTTCTAAAGATATGTCCTTGGAAGTTAATAAGACTACTATATGAAAACATATTTGGTACTTTTCTAAATATAGAGGTTAATTCTACAAAACTCTGACAAATGTGATTTAAAATTCTGAATTTCAAATTTTATGTATAATACTATGATTTAAATACTTTTGGGACCCCGCTAGTTTTTTTTTTTCCTATAATCTATGGGTATGTTTGCTTGTTTATTTTTTTCAGTTAGTTTTATTCATAGAATTTTCTCTAGATGACTTTTTCTTTTTCAAAGCTTGTACCTCTGTGCCTAAACTGGAAGAACTTCCTCATATGCTTTAAAAATCTATTTCAAATCGGGCAGCTGGGTGGCTCAGTCACTTAAGCATCCAACTCTTGATCTCAGCTCAGGTCATAATCTCACAGTTCGTGAGTTCAAGTCCCACATAAGGCTCTGCACTGATAGTGTGGAGCCTGCTTGGGATTCTCTCTGTCCCTCCTGTCTCTGTCCCTCCCCTGCTTGTGCTCACTCACATGCACGCTCTCTCTCTCAAAATAAATAAATGAACTAAAAAAATTTTTTTGAATCTATTTCAAATCATATTAATATCTAAATTATATGTGTAAAAATAATACAACTTCTCTATCAAATATCTAGATAGCAGAAGTTACCATGACCTTGAGGTTCAAAGGAACCCTCCCTTGTGGAAGGGAAAATAAGAAGGCCAAGAAACATGCACACAGCCACATAGCCCCAACAATTTAAGTCCACGTCAAGCATTCAGTAGATTAAGGTAGGAGGACTTTCAAACCCCTTTTGCTAAGCATACCCCAGACAACATGTTTATGTGCATATGAAATCTATATGTGTCTCAGAGTCTGTGAGAGTAAGAGTACTTGGCATCTATATTTTCAAGGGACTTTTTAAAACTAAACTTTGATAAACAAAAGTCTGCAAGTCTTTTTGTGGAAACTGAGTAATTTTGTTGAGTAATGTTATAATCATTGATGCTGTGAAATTTTCTGTGGGGAAAAAATGCGATTAAATGCCATTTTCTAACCTGCTCTGTGACAGTGAAAGAGAGAAAATCATGAGAAAAAGATTTACATCTCATGCCTTTAACACTTGTTTCTTTATATGACCCCGTCCTAGCATCTATTTTTTTATTGACTTAGCTGAAAGAGATAGATCCTTGGAAGCGGACTGTGAGGGACAGAGGGTGGGGGTGGGACGTATTTTGCCTGTTTTTGCTGGTAGACTCATCTCTGTGTTCAGCCATCAAAATACAGAACGTAATTTTGAGGAGGGTCCTTAGTCGTTTGTCAAATTGATCATTTCAGTGTACCTCGTATGTATCCAGCACTGTATTTTGCCTTTGTGTGTGTGTTTTTTTTTCTTTTGGTGAGCAGCTGTATCTACTATAAGGCTGGGAATCAAAATATTTATCAAGATGTTGCAAAAGGAGTGCATCAGCAGAACATTTTAAGGAGATAGATACTTAGGAATACAACTGCACACATATTTAATAACTGCAAGCTTCATTTTAGGATAAAAAGCATTTCACATTATAATCCTAGCTTTTATATTGGAAACATTTCAGAAAACTCTAAACTAAGCTTGCCTTTATCTTCTTGGTGCTGAATGGAAACACAGTATGACACCTGGTTCTCTTATCAGTTTATTCCATACACCTTTAAGCCCTGCTGGTGTTACACACCCCTAGGTGACATTCAGAAGTTCAGATAATGCTGTGGAACAATTGGAGCAGTGATATTTTCCTCTTTCCATAAGTGTGACTGCTTTAGTGAATTAAAACTGTGTCCCCAAGAGCGTATGGTTTCACTCAACATTGTGAGTCCCCAACAGAAGCATTTTAATGGTTTCATAACTGTACCTTCCAGACTTGCATTTCAATTGTTTTGCCACTGTAATTTCACTTATAATTGCATTCTAATGGAGTTTTTTTAGGCAAGCATTTAAATTGTTTTGCCATTTTCATTCCATCGAATAATAGCTTTGTAATATAATTACCACACTAAGTCACAGCAATGGGATCAAAATGCGAGAAAGACGCATGACCCATGTTTGGTGGTATTTGAGGGATATAGATTTGCAAAGTAATTTCTCATTTGGCACTAAGCATTTTGTCGTTCTCTCAAGGAAGACCAGGAACAAAAAATATGAACCAATTTATGTCTCATTTATTTGGGAGATAGAGCCTCTCTTGATGTTTGCTAGAAGATTGACTTAAAGATAGTGACTGTGTGTGCAGGTGTCTATGTGTATGGCCTGTGTGTATATATAACATTGTTAATTGGGCTGGGAAAAAGAGTAAATATTTAATTATCTAACGAGCTGTTCTTTGGGGGAATAAGGTGCAGTCTTATTTAAGATAATCCATGCTCCATTGCCAAAGTCTATTATTGAGCATTTATTATGTGCAAAGCATAGTGTTACCACTGGGGATAATAGGACAAATAAGGACGAGGTTTCTGTATCCAAGGAAGTTATAGTCTAGTATGGAGAAATCACAAATGTCTGCATGTTGCTAGCACGAAGAAACAAATATCAACAGCTGGAAGAGAAGCAAAAAGAGACTTGAGGCTGAGAGACCACGTAAGGTGTCGCGACCTGACCGAGACAGTGGGGAAAAAGCCAGGATTTGAGAGCTGTTTCAGAGGGAGGGTCAGCAAGGATTGGTCCTCGATGAATTCAGATGGCGGAACAAGTGGACAGTTGATGAAAAGAAGGTGATTCATCAAATAAAGTAATGCGGAGTACAGGTTTGAACCTGAGGCAGAAGGATGAAGAGTTTGTTTTAGACTTCTCCCTTTGAGATCCTGGGGAGCGTCCCAGGAGTCCAGTGAGCCACGGTCCTTTTGGACTGAAGCACAGTTGGTTTGTGAGCAATCTCATTTAAGATGACACTGCCGGTGACCTCAACCAGGGGGACAGTGGTTTCCCGCAGAATGCTCTATTATGGGGCTGCTGATGAGGAGGATGGCGGAAGAGGAGCAACCAGGAGAGTGGGGAGGCCTGGATGTCGCTGGGAAAAGGAAGAGATCTGTCACCCTCAGGTGCTGTAGTCTTTTTTTTTTTTAGTTTTGAGAGATGGAGAGAGAGGGCATACGCGCACAAGAGCAGGGGAGGGGCAGAGAAGGAGAAAGAGAATCCCAAGCAGGCCCGGTGCTGTGAGCGCAGCGGAGCACGACGTGGGATTCCATGATCTCTGTGAGATCAAGACCTGAGCCAAAAGCAAGAGTCGGACACTTAACCGACTGAGCCATGCAGGCGCCCTGGTGGCTGCAGGGTCCTGCAGGAAGGATTCCAAACAGTCTCTCAGTTCTGGCATTTAAGAAGTTACCGGCAGTGCAAAAGACCATTAAGACGAAAACAGCGAGCAAAGCTCGTGAATAAAGGGTTTAATAGCTAAAGAACAACACAATTTTTTTTTTTAAGGTTTGTCTTGTTTTGTTTCCTTTTGCGAGAAAGAGAGACGGAGCACAAGTGGGGGAGGGGCTGAGAGAGAGGGAGACACAGAATCCGAAGCGGGCTCCAGGCTCTGAGCTTTCAGCACAGAGCCCCAGGCAGGGTTCAAACCCACAAACTGTGAGATCACGACCTGAGCCGAAGTCGGACGCTTAACTGACTGAGCCACCCAGGCATCCCGACAGAAATTTTTATACATCTTTTCTGCGACTTCAGCTGCCCCTCTCGTGTTACAATAGGTTCTGTGTTTGATAAAGCACTATTTGTGCAGTAGCTTTTGTGTGTGGGGCATGGCCCAGGGCCCTGTAAGGGAGACTGCGAATAAGGATTGGTTCCTATTATCAAGGGAGATCATGGTATTTCCCAGTTGCTGATGTCTTAGTGTTTTAGGCAGACCCTGTCACCTTAAAAATGAGGGGGGGACTTGGGAGTGTACCTGACTTGCCTAATGCATCCCTGCCTGTTGGGAGAGCCAGACTGCCACCCATCCCAGCTCCTCATCCCATCTGCCTTTCCAGTTCTCCAACATTTTCATTTAAAGGCCTCTGGACTGGGGTTACTTCTAGGAGAATACAGTATTCTCAATTGTTGGCAGAAATATACCACTCCGGTATCTCAAGGGGGGGAGGGCAGATGTAAAAATTCACTTTTTGTTCATGGATTCCAACAGTGTAGTCACCTATTGATATCACATCTTTTTCTCCCTTTCCTAAGCCCTAATAGAGGATACGCCCTGGTGGTTGTTGTTGTTGTTGTCTTTATTTATACACAGTACATAAGGGCAACAGTCACAAATGAGAAATACGCTTTCCTCAAAAATAAAGGGGACGTGAGCCCCATGGGACCAGGGGTTTTTGTCAGGGTTGTGAACTACTGTCTCCCCACCGCCCACATCAGTGCCTAGTACATAACGGAATCTCAACAAATATTGGAGATGACAGTCCCTGGGATCATTAACACTTTGAGACCTCACTGAGGATATGGACGTATCGAAAGTAAGAAGGTGTTATTTTGAGTGGGCATTCATCAGTAGCAGAGGACCAACAGGAGGGAAAGTCATTGATGCAGATGTTGTCAGTGCCCTTCTGGTTGCTGGTCAGGGTTGCGGTGCCCTGACCTAAAAATCTTAGCCGATGTGGTTTGGGGGCCACATGTATCACTATTGTAAGGAAGGCTGCCTGAGGCCAGGGGTCTGTAAAGACAT